TCCCTTAACCTAGAAGGAAAGAGTGGGATGAATGATCAGCTTCCTTAGCCTTTCTGGGAGCTTCAGAAAGGCCGTTTCAGTTTCACCCCACCCATATGGCGACACTGAGATACACAGACATGGCTAGGAAGGAGGAAGAAAAACAGTGGTCACCAACATCAGCCAGTCCGGTGACCTGCCTGAAGACTGCAGAAACTAACAGCGGCAGCAGATCACTGCAGATTTCACCAACAACTGTCACCCTTCGGGTTTTCACATTTGCTGTCATCCGCCTGAGTCCCTCCCACCCCTTCCAACTCCCCACTTCAACCCTCTCAGTGGAGCCCTTGACCGACAACAGCAGCTGGCCCAGGCCTCTGCAGCCGCACAAATCAAGACGCCAGCACGGACCCCAGCGGCTGACCCCAAACTCCACAGGTGCACTTCAGGACAGCCTCCCTAGCTGTGCACTTGCATGCTGTCTGTCACCAGCCACCACTACAGGGATCACAACAGAGGTGGAGACTATGCCACAACTAGAGAACGTGCCAACAGTCAGGGACCCACACCACCGCTTCCAGGGAGCTCACAGTTGGCACCAGCCCTTGCTGCCTTGCCTGAACCCCACCGCTACATGTATGTCTGCAACAGGTCCCTGCAGCTGGTCCCCATAGCAAAGCGTGCACACACCACCAGCCCCAGCCACCACCACTGCCTGCCAGCGTCCCCAGCCCTGGATCTGGAGGTATTGCTGAGGACAAAAGCCCATATGGCTTCTGCAGACCCCCGGCAGTGCTCACCAAAGGTCACAGTCGTCGTCAATGGTGTGGACCCCAACAGCCTCAGCTGAAGGCACATTCTGCCCTCACCTCACCCCCAGGAAATGTTTTGTACATGTGTACAATATTATGTATCAGTTATATCACAATAAAAATTAAATATATTTTAAAAAGGAAACTCCCTGATGGGAGAGAAGAGGGAATTTCAGGGGAGAATGGGAAGGGTTTACAGGAACAAATATAAAGGACACATGGACAAAAACTAGGGGGGGTGGAAATGGGAGGGAGATGGGGAGGGAGGGGTGGGTGGGCTGGGATGGGAGTAAAAGGCAGAAAACTGTACTTGAACAATGGTTAAAATAAAAATTTTTTTAAAAATTTTAAAAAAGGAAACTCCCATCATTTTGCCCTTATACTTACCATCTTACTGCACATCTGATAGCCAGAAGTAGTAGCACTAACACAGAGGTTACGATATGCCAAGTCTGGTTCTTAAGCACTTTGAATTTTTAACTTGTCACAATAACTTTATGAAGAACTATTGTCTTCATTTTGCATATGAGGAGATTGCAGCAAAGTTTAAATAAGTTGTCTAAGGTCAAAAAGAAAATAAGTAGTGGAGCAAAATTTTATACCAAGGCAATCTGCCTCCTCCCAAACCCATGCTCACAACCGTTACTCTTACTGCCCACCAGTCATCTATTTTGATGGAACTTGGTCATTAATAAGTATATTCCCCATTCAAATGTTTAAGTATTAAAGTCTAAAGAAAGTTTTATTCTGTACTTCATTTTCTACCTACCCAAGCATCTATTTTTCCACATTCCCAACAAACTCTGGATTGGATGCATGTTTAGACTGCACAGACAATATGTCCCTTGGCAGTCGTCTTTCTTTTCAAATTCTCCCGGTCCTCAGAAAGAATGAGCGGTCCTCAGAAAGAATGAGCGGTATTTCCTACTTGTGCTAGTTGCTACGGGGAGCACGCCCTCTAGTGGCCCTATTTGGCTTTTATGCAGCCAGATAAAACATTCACAGAAAATGCTTAATACCATTTCTTTCCTATTACAGGTTTAGTGGCAGAGTACACTTATTAAAAAGTAAACTTTTAAAAACCCAAGATGGGTCTTAATGCATTGTTATGTTTAATTGAGGGGATAAAACTGTCCTTAGATTAATAGGGCAAAACATGAGGTCACAGGGGACCATGACTTTACTGCTGGCTCAGACGTAAGCAACTCACGCATGCCAGAGCTTTTTTAAAAAAGATACCATCCCTGTATTTTGATAGCTTTCAAAAGAAGACCAAAAAATTACAATTCTTGCAAATTTCTGAAATAATTCCAGACCATAAAATTGCTGTGAAAAACTTGTATGTGGAATTTAAAAGACAAAATAAGGAAACAAGCAGAACAGAAAAAGATTCTTACAGAGAACTTTTGGACAGTGGTTAGATGGGGGTAAGGGGGAGTGAGTGGAAAAGGGGGAGTGAGTGAACAAGATGAAGACAGTAACAAGTACAAACTGGTAGTTACGGAACAGTCGTGGGGATGTAAAGTTCGGTATAGGGAATATAGTTAATAATATCGTAGTAACCATATATGGTGTCAGATAGGTACTAGATTTATCAGGGTGACCACTTACCAGTTATATAAGTGTATAATCACAAGGTTGTACACCTGAAACTAATACGGTATTGCATGTCAACTGCAATTCAAAAATAAAAATTTTTTAAAAACTCCCTAAAAAATGAGGCTAAATTTCTCTTTTAAAAAATTGCTGTGAAAACCATCACAAGCCTACACGTCCCCCAGGGTGAAGGGACCTTCAAATAAAGTAACTCTTTTCCTTTCGTTCTCATCACAGAATGTGGCTGATGGAGAGCACCTGAGTTTAGTTCTATAATCACAAACTGTATGCCATTGTCTTCCTGTACAGCTGAGAGGCAATGATAGAAATGGTTTTTCTTAGCTAGAAATAACTAGAACACAACCAAAGTGCAATCTTTAGCCAGTTACGGTAATTACAAGGAGACAAGTTTATCAGCAGCTATGCTACGCAATATTGTTTTTCTTTTTCCAGACCATAGGGTCTATATACCAAAGTAAAATCGGTCTTCTCTACGGCTTTCTTGATCCCAAATATTGACTTTGGAGCAAATAAATGAGATCTTTCTGCAACTATGACAAAGCATATGAGGACTACTTAGGTCAGGTAGCTAGGAACAACCTAAATGAGAATGAGTGAAAGAAGGAAAATAACCAATTGATTTCTAGTCCCTCTTCACTGAAATCACTGTTAATTCAACAAGCAGTTAATGAGTACCTAGTGTATAGAAAGACAAATGGGAAGTATGGTGAGTAGATAAAAATGAAGACATAGTCCTTATACTCAAAGAGCTTACAAGCTAATTTAAGGAAGAGAAATTCAAGAGCAACCCCAAGAAAATGGAAATCATCTTTCAGAGTTGGGGGACTCTGAAAGGGAGGACAGGTGAGCTAGCTTTACAGCATGGGAAGGATTTTAACATGCAGGCATAGGGGGAAAGGTATTTCAAGCAGAGGGAATTTTTAGCAAGCATTCAGTGCTCACAGTGCTGATGACATTTGAAGAATGGCTAGTACCCCGGTTCACTGGAGCAGATTGTGAGTGAAAACTGAGAGTGGTGGATGAAATGGTACTTTGAACTTTATTCTGTAAGCAAAGGAAAATCATTAACTCGAAACAACATAAGCACCTCTATGTTCATCACAGCATATTTACAATTGCCAAGCTACGGAAGCAGCCCAAGTGTCCATAGATGAGTGGATAAAACAGCTATGGGATATTTACACAATGGAATACACTTGGCTATAAAAAAGAAAATTTTACCCTTTCCAAGAGCATGGATAGACCTGGAGAACATTATGCTACGTGAAATAGGCAAGTCAGAGAAAGACAAATACCATATGATTTCACTCATATGTGGAATCGAATGAACAAACTAAACAAACAAAGAGACAAACTTACAGAGAGCAGGCTGACAGCTCTGGGAGTGGGGGCAGATTATGGGGTGGAGGGATAAAGGAAAAAGGACTCATGGACATGGATCGCAGTGTGGTGATTGCAGAGGGGAGGGGTGTATTAGGGGGTTAAATGGTAATGGAAAATATACAATAAAATTTTTTTTTAATTATGAAAGGCAATAAGCAGGGGACAAAGGACCTGTGCAGGGCTTGGTTTTAGGAAGATTATTCTGGTGGCAACATTTAAACTCAATTACAGCTAAGAAAGCTACTGGCAAGTGACTATCTAGAAGGTTATCAGCAGGGAGAAAGTGAGGAGTAGTAAAGGTTCACACCTTGGCTGGGGTGGCTCAGTGGACTGAGCGCCAGCCTGCAAACCAAAAAAAAGGTCACTGGTCCCATCCCTGGTCAGGGCACATGCCTGGGCTGCAGGCCAGGTCCCCAGTTGGAGGCAAGTGGAAGGCAACCAATCAATGATGTTTCTCTCCCTCTCTTCCCCTCTAAAAATAAATAAAATCTTTAAAAAAATGAAAATAAAGACTCTCATTTCAATCATGAAGGCAGATGTCAATGTGTAACTGAGAAGATTGGGCTAAAAAAGATTGTCTACATTTTTCCCCCCAAAACACCTGAGGATTAGAATACAGTTCTGTGGATGACAGTGCCTCACAACCTCAGTAATGTAAGCCAGGCCACGGTGGGGGAAGCCATCTGAACCCCACCCTTGGAGATCAAATGGGGAGGGATATCAGAATCTCCAGAGAGGGCAGTATGTGTTACTTTACAAAAGAAAAAAAGGCAAGCAGCCAAATCCTTGTGATGAATCATCCTTGTGATGAATTGCAGGAGATGGATGCATCTCCTGTAACAGTCACTGAAGGAGAACTCCAAGATCCTCTAGCTTCCCAAGTCTCTGACTCACTTTTGTTCTCTTACACTGATGCCTTTCATTTCTGCTGACTACAGTTCTGGGACACGAGAGGTGGCATAGTTCATGAAGATAATTTGAAGCAAATGAAATTAACAGCACTAGCAAGTAAATGATGAACAGTTTCTATAAGGAGTGCTCTGTGTTCAGAACCATGAGCAGAGGTGTAGCCTCAGCTCCTTGAGGGCCCCTATTTCTTGAAAAATAACAGCTACAAAAAGTCCTTTTATTAGCTATTGGCCCATTCATACTAGATCAATTAAGTAAAAAAGGTAATGAAAGAGGCATATAAAAAGATAAAAGAGACACTACCTTTTTCCATATTTTTAATTACCATTATTGCACCAATAATACACTTTATATACATATATCTTAAACTTCATTATCAACTTTTCCGCAATTCTAATACATAATATATTATCCTCTTCAGAATACAAAGAACACAACATGGAGGAAGATTGAGAAAATAGGTTCCCAATAGTTAGTCACTAGTGATTCTATCGACTTTCCTTTAGTGTTTTCTATGGAATTTAAAATGCCCTGCATGGCTCTGTAAGAACAGAGCAGCCTGGAAAGGGGGGCAATGAAAAGAAATGGACCCAAAGTTAAAAGGAGCCAAAGAGGAAATCCTGGACAGAGAATATATTTTGAAACTGAACATAAGGACTCCCTTCAGCCAGAGTGTACACATCCAGTTACTAAGGGAAGAAAAGGTATCTTCATCCCTTCCTCAAAACTGCTCACTAACAAACAAAATAGGCAGTGCCCAACCAGCTATGAAAGGGAACTCTCTTCACAGCATTATAAAAGGAATGGTGGGGCAGAGAGAAGGGAAGTGGCAGGAGAGCAAACCACCTTTGAGATACCCTAGGTGATGGGTCTCAAAGCTGTCATTTGGGCAAAATCTATCACAGCTAAAGTGATGACTCTCCAGCTTCCTTCATAAATGAGGACACATGAAATAGCAGCTTTTCTTACTGAAGAGCAAAATGGACTGAAAATGTTCATGGAAAGGGGCCAGAAACCCAGGCAGCAAGGCAATATGGGTAGTGAACAAGAGTTAGGTGCTTTCCACCTCTCTGCTCTACAGGTCAGGTTAAGAACTCTAACCCCTCCACTTCAGCTCAAAATAATCAGGCAAATACAAAGTAATGCTGTGCTTCAAATGCAGCCATTACATGGTGCTGCAAGAAAGAACAGAAGGTCCTTCAATAACATCATTTTGTTATGCTGTTGATGAGATGCTGCAGGAACTTAACTCTTGTTCATATCAATTAGCCTATCGTAAAACTGGTTTTGTTACAAGTGGTTTAGCTTAAAGTCGAGAACCTATCATCAACGTTAACTGAGAACTTACTGTAAACACTTCTGTAGAATACAACTTGGAAAACACAGCTCCTTGAACCTCCTTCATCCAAGAGACACCCACTGATTGAAGATGTTGCACTATTCAACAAACAGAAGAATAGTGGAGGTGCCACCAACACAACCTCCGTATCACAGAAAGAGACATGTAAACACATGAACGGGTGATGGAACTGCACCCAGCACTGCATGTTCACTGATCAGGGAAAGCCGGAAGGAGGGTATATAGCAGACCCAAGAAACAGGTTCTTCTCCATTCCTAGGAAAATCCTGTGTTTATAAACACTGAGGTCAGGCTGTCTATTTTCAGAGTCTTGGGTTAGTGGAAAGGGAAGTTTCAAGGCTTTTGTTTCTCCTGAAATTGCTAAATAGGGCTTCACAAAGAGGCACACGGGGTCATGAGATGATTCTGAAATACATTAAAGAATTTAAAGGACGGAGAAAAAATCTGCAGATGTTAAAGGTTGTTTCCCCCTCACAGAGACCCTGGCCTTTGGAGCCCTGCAGTCAGCCACAAGTATAGTAAGACCCACTGTTCTCCTGCCTTGAGTGTGAAGAGGAGATAAGAGGTGCTTTCTTGGCTGTACAGCAAGTAACAACACAGGGGCATAAAATAAAACCAGCTCGAATACAATGGAGAAGCTATGAAAAAGATTGTCCGGTAATTTTGGTTCTGGGGAGAGAAGGGATTCCTAACTTCCCTCACAGATTGGTGCCCTCAAGGTCATTTTATTCTTCAAGTCTGTCCTTAAGCCAATGCCATTCAGAACTGGACCCAGTTGGATGGCTGCGGTGCCTGGTTTGGAACAGTGCTGCAAGACAAAACAGAGAAAGCCAAGGACGTAATACTAGGATAGCTGCTCCATTCTTTATTTAATAGTTCCAAAGAAATTGCTGCCCACAATTCCTAAAACTATACTTCACAGCAATTCTACTTACCAAGGCCTGAAATATCCCACTCTAACTTCATCCTACAGTTTGTTTTTATCCACCCACCCCCAGCACTTACACTTCCTTACTTAGAATTCCTGCCGGAGACTCTCTATGACCTACGAATGCTGTTTTCTCAGATCACAGACTTCATCTGACCACATACACCACCCACACCCCGACTGAGAGTATGCGAGCTGCACCATGGTCGTACCTGGGTGCAGTACTGAAGTCTCCCCACAAGTCATTGCTTGCAGAAACTGGAGCTGGTGCTGGTGTTGTGACAGGAGCAGGAGAATCCAAATCTAAAAGGATATCTGGATACAAGATAAGAGAAGAAAAAAAGGAGAAACATAATAAAAGTCTTAGAAATAAAAACTTATGTTCACACAATCTATACACGGCAGCTTTATTTGTAACAGACAAAAACTGAAACAACGCAGATGTCTCTACATGGGTGGTGGTCAAACACACTGGTACTTCCAAACCACGGGGTACTACAAAACAATGAATGGAAAGAAACTACTGATATACCAACTTGGATGATTTCAAGAGGATTATGCTGAGTGTAAAAACCCAACCCAAAAGATTATACACAGTATCAGCATTTTCAACCAGTGAGCTGCAAGAATTTTTTTAAGACTTTATTTATTTAATTTTAGAGGGGAAGAGAGGGAGGAAAAAAAGGGCAAGGAACATCAATGTGTGGTTGCATTTTGCACGCTCCCCTACTGGGGACGTGGCCCTACCCAGGCCTGTGCCCTACACATTGGGAATCGAACCAGCAACCCCTGGATTCACAGGCTGGCACTCAAACAACTCAGCCACACCAGCCAGGGCTGCAAGAATTTTTTAAAACATGTAATACCTGACTATTTAGTCAGGAGCACTGCTCTCTTTTCCCTTAAACTGCCAAATAAAAAAAAAACGACAACAGACAACACAACAATAGCTGTCCAGTGTGAATGAATCAAAATTATACCTATTTTTTTTTCAGAACAGCAAAACATACATTTTTTGGTGTGTCACACAATTTTAGTAATTAGTTTATGTGAGCCATGAGATGAAAAAGATTGAAAACTGCCTACTATCTGACTCCATTTATGAAACATTCCTGAAGTGACAAAATTACAGAGATGGAGAACAGACTAGTAATTCCCAAGGGTTAGAGACGAGGGAGGCGCGAGGATGAGGACGAGGGAGAGGAAGGGAAGAGGCTGGGGGCGGTGTGACTCTAGCAGAACAACGCAAAGGGTCCTTGTAGCAACAAAAGTGTTCTGTATGCTGACTGTGCTGGTGGGTCCAGGAGCCGCCCACAGTGAAACTGCACAGAACCACACACACACACACACACACACACACACACACACACACGAACGAAAACACATAAAACTGATAAAATCAAAATAAGCTCAGTAGATAGTATCAAGGTCAATTTCCTGGTGGTGATATTAGATCAGTGTTGCAAACGTCCCCATTGAGGGAAACTGGGTAAATGGTAAAGGGATTTATTTGTATTATTTTTACAACAGCATGTGAATAATATACTTATCCCATAATAAAAAGTTTAATTAAAAAATGTTTTAAAATCTTAGACATTATCCCTAGCCTTCTGTTGACACTTATTATAACTCATCAATCGTAATATCTGGTTCTCTAGTCTTAGGAAAATTCCTTTCTGCGTTCTAAAGTTCTCATTCTTTCAATGGAAATAACTATCTATCCTTTTTCCCACCAGATAGTAAGGAAGAACAAAAATGTATTCACAAACCCAGATGTCTCTCATTTTCTCCCCCCTGCCCTCCTGAAGAAATGGAAAGGGTTAGAAACACCAATCACTAAATGGCTGCCATGTTCCGAGTACTGTGCTAGGCGCAGTCCGCCACTGAACCATCACAACCTGGGGCGGTTTTACTTCTCCATTTTGCACATAAGGATGCTGATACTCACAGAACTTAAGTAATGTTGCCAAGCCCATTCAGACACAAGGTAGCAGACCATACCTGAAAACTCGGTCCATCGAACTCTCAGGCCTACTAGCATCTAATCCAGGCACAATGAAGGAAATAATCTTTTTAATATCCACACATTTTCTGTGAGGAAGCTACCACACACGACTCTCAGTTCACTAGAAAAGCTTTGATCTCTTGGTAGAGGCTGCCTGAATTACCTTAGCAGTACCCAGTGCCATTTAATAGAAAAAACATCAGCATTCTCCTTGGCAAACAGGTGTTATCCAGTTATAACCTAAAGTATGATTTCTGAAAGTTAAAAGTACTGGAGAAATTTACCTGCATCACTACCTCCATGGTTGGACTTTGGAAGGGGAGGTGGAGTGACATGATTGCTGATGGCGACTGAGGATGGTGGGGGAATAGTGACTTTGCCTCCAGGTGGGGGTGGGAGTAAGCTCAGGCCTCCAGTTCCTGCAGTCTTGGGCTTAGAAGTGCCTCCTTTCTTGGTTGTAATGTTCTATAAAAGAGAAAAAGAGGGAGAGCGAGAGAAAAAAACAGAAGTTACAGGCTTATGGAAACACAGGAAGGGAGGGAAGAAAGAATACTCACCCCAATACTCAACTTGATGGTCTGTCCTTCCTTGAAGCCCAGATCCAACTTGGGACGTGTGTCCATTTCCTGAGATTCTTTGGAAATCTCAGATTCCTGCTTTACCCACCTTCAGCAAAAGAGTAAGTTATCTTAACTTGGGATTCCCTGAAAGCAGAGTTTGACATACAAATTTGAGTATAGCTAATTTATGTAAGACAGGATTCCAGAAAGCAAAGTGAGGAAGGATGAAGATCTGAGAACGAAAAAAAAAAAAAAAAGCCAAGAAAGAGAGCAACCAGGACTCAAGACACCTCTGAGGAGCCAGACAGACTGTGTATTAGACTTGTCTCTCCAGAGGAGGGCATTTAGCCACCAATTCCCATCCCCCAGGGTTGAGGGCTGCCCCTGGGAGGGTGTTAGCTCCTCCGTTCTTCCAAATTGCACCCCTTTGCTAACTGAGTGGCCTTCCATTATTTCTGAGAGTCCTATGGCAGAATGCCTGCCCTTGAGATAGGAAGCTGCCAATGTGCATGGTGCTTTCCACCACAGCTACACCAAAGTCAGTTTGGCTGAAGAAACGGTGCAATAGGCACAAAACATGTCAGTTATGTAAAGTAACAAAGCTGGGATGTAACTCCCACATATCCTACATACAGCCCCCGGTTACTGTATGCCCTCTCAGCCACTAAAAGTAACAGCAAATTCCCCAAAGGCATAAACAAAAGCATCATCTCAAACCACTATACAAGAGATCAAACATATTCTGGGCTATAAGGAAAAGAGAAAATAGATACAAAAATATGTAAGGAAACAGTGAATGGAAAAATTTATATTTGTAATAAACTAGTTTACCAAATAAAGAAACCAGGAGCTAAAAGAGATAGTCCCTATTCAACTGAGAAGCAACTTTCCCAAAACGATTTAACCTGGTAACTAAGGACAAGCTTCACTCACTTGAAGTGATCTTGCAAGGAGACATTAAAGTCGAAGGCATCACCCCGATCTGTGAAGCCAATGCCAATGAAAGCACTGCGCCCTGGGAAAAAGACAGGAATACTCAGAGTAGGAGTGTCCCTATGGCAAATTCTACCCACTGAAAATAGAAGTTACCCTACTTGAAGTCTGGGAATGTGAATCATTTTCTCCCAGACTGAGGTCCGTAAACTACATATGGCCCGCAGTCCAAACGCTGCCATGGCCTGTTTTTGTAAATCACGTTTCACTGGAACACAGCCACAGCAACTTGTTGGCCTGCTACTGACGGCTGCTTTCACATGACAGCAGAGCCGAGCAGCTGCAACAGAGACCACCTGGCCCACAAATCCTAAAATGTTTACTGTCTGTCTCTTTACAGAAAAAGTTTGCCAATCTCTGATACTGACTATGGAGAAAAGATAATGGTTGCTCCAATAAAGATAATTTAAGATACCCCACCAAAACCCATCACAAACAACAGATGGGCAATAAGTGTAAATTCTTTTGTTAGATACACATTTTGATTTATTTACAACTACCTATTAATTACCACATCTTGAACTTGTATTCATTATCTATTACAAATAACACGTTAATCCTTCTCTTTTAGCAACTATAGTTAATTATGGAGAAACGGGAGGAAAAATTTAGTAAACTCAAGTGTGATAAATGCAGTTGAGACACTTTCTTTGAAGTGCATCCACTATTTTCCTGATCTCATTGCATTCCACATCTCAGATCCCTTACCAGTCCCATCCTGGATCCGGATTACAAAGTAGCGGCTGGAATCTGTCACAGTCTCCACAGCAATACCAGGATACTGTTCTACTGGTGCCTGAGCAAAGAGTTCCCCTGACAGGTAAGAAAAAGACTTCTTTGAGCAAAGGAAGCAAAAATCTAAAACACCACTTAGCAAGTATTTCCATTTCAGTCCCCAATTTGAAAGTACTTATGAAAGCACACCAAAACAATATCCTTAACATGTTAGAGGGTCACCAACATAGATTACCTGAAACTTTATCTTCGAGTTTGATATAAGCAATCTTCCCTTTTGAAGTGATTCGGAGGCGACCAGTCCAATCAGGCTGGTCTAATTTCCAGTCAGATGCCCTACGATAGGAAAATGGGAAGCCTCAGGCCTCAGGTCCGTATCTTTAATATACTAACAACCTACGCAGAATCATTTGCCATATTTCTATGTCCCTGTCCTGGATTACTGATTCTTTCTATCTATTAAATAACCAATAAGGATAGCTCATGATCCCCTCTAAATAGATAACTCATATTACACAGAGTTCACAACAAAAAGAAGACAGTGTTACTATTGGAGGATTCTGGAGTCCAATATTATTACCATCTACTGAGTTCAAACAGTATTTACAGGCACTGTTCTACATGTTTGGGATACAACAGCCAACAGAGCAAAGGCTCCCACCCTCATGAGGTTTACATTCTAATAGAAAACAGGCAATAAAAAAAAGACATATAAATAAGTCAAATAACTAGTATCTCAGAAGGTGCTGAGTACGAAGGTAAAAAGGAAAGGCAGAGGCAGACAAGGGGGACTGGGAGGGTAGTGGGAGAGTACATGGTTTGCAGTAGTCAAGAGGGTGGTGAGAGACGGCCTTATTAACAAGGAGAATGTGAGCAAAACTGTGAAGGAAGTGAGAGTTCTGCATGCAGACAACTGGGGGAAAAGGCACAGGGAACAGCCAGTGCAAAGGTGCTAAGGCAGGAGCCTGCTGGAATGTTTGTCCTCAAGCAAGGCGGCCACTGGAGTGAGAATAAAGTGAGAGATGAGGTGGGAGCGCAAAGAGAGGGCTTGGTCCTGCATGGCCTGAGAGGCCACTGTAAGAACTTTAGCTGTTACTCTGAGTGAAAGAGGAGCTTTTATGGGTTTTAAGCAGAGGTGTGATATAATCTCCCTTTTACAAGAATTACTTTGCTGTGTGTAGAAGCAGTGTAAGGATTTGAGTGCTGAGGCAGGGGGATTAGTTAGGAGACTACTGCAGAAATCTAGGAAGATGCATGATGGTGACTAGGAAGAAACAGCAGCAAAAGTGGGTAGATTCTGGATATAGCTAAGGTAAGGGCAGCAAGATTTCTAACAGACTGAAGAGAAAGAGAAGTCAAGGACAACTCCCAGGTTTTTAGCGCTAGCAAAGAACTTGCCAATACCTGAGCCAAGACATAGAGCGTGTCTGGGAAGAAAGATCAGGGGTTCCGGATATGCTGAATTTGAGATGTCTAGTAGATTTTCAAGAGAAGATATAGAGTAGACAGTTGAAGACATGAATCTACAGTTCAGGAAAGACATGTGGGCTAAACATACAAATGTTCAAATGTTCATAAAACATTAGAAAACAATGAAGATTGATCATCTATGTTATAAATGAATTTGAATGAAATCTAAGGCATTTAAATATGACCAATTTATAAAACAATGCATTTGTGATTGTTTCCCAAGAGTATTAAAGAGACAGCAAAATAAAAGTTATTAATAACTCATCCCTTTGGGACCTGAGGACCAAACTTCCAGGTTAGAAAAATAACAACAGGGTATATCTGAACAAGCATGAGTTTAACAACAGGATACGCAAAAGGCGGAAAGGAGAAAAGTGAAAATTAATCAGCACAGGTTTTACAGGATTTTTAAGATAAATCCTTGTCATGTCCTTCTCTCTTGATGCCCTGCTCTCAAAGACTCGGTAGTACTGAATCTGGTCCAGATTAGAGTGCTCTAGAGGTCCCATCAATTACATTTTTTAAACTGAGCCCTGAGCAGTGGGGCTCAGTTGGCTGGGTGTCATTCCACAAAGCCAAAGGTTGCCTGTTTGATTCCCAGTCAGGAATCCCAGCATGCCTGGGCTGCGGGTTCAGTCTCAGGTTGGGGCACGCATGAGAGGTATGAGAGGCAACTGATCAATGTTTTGCTCTCTCAGCTCAATGTTTCTCTTCCTCTTCCTCTCTCCCTTCCCCTCTCTCTAAAAACAAAATAAAGTCTTTTTTAAAAATATTTTAAATTGAGTTGTTACTCTCCCATACTACAAAGAGATAAGACATAATGAAAATGGCTATTGAAAATATTGGGAACCAGCCTACTAGATGTGTTTCTTTGGACAGGTTCCTCGTCTCAGTCATCGTGTGTATCTAGTGGTCAGGATCTAACAAATTCTAGATATGTGGATGATATCCACGGCAGCAGTTTCCCTCAGTCTTCAGCCTTAGTTCCTCCCCCACTCCCTAGCCTGAAAAATTCTTGATTTGGCTGGTCTTCTGACAATACTCTAAACCTCACAAATTTTCATTTATCTTAGCAATAAATCCTTACGGCAGTCATAGGAAATAAGCATGAAAACTCTATCATAGCTCCCTCTCTAAATGAAGAAAAAGACAATAATACAGTAACTAATAATGCCTAAGTTCAAAGTCCAGCTTTCTTTGTTATCACATTAAAACACACTACAGAATTTAATACTAATTTAGTTGGGGAGAAGGGTAGTAATGAATTTTAAAATGTTTTATAGGTTGGGAAACCAATTTCTCACTATTCATAAAGCTTCTCATCAACCGTAATTTTCCTTCCATCTGTCTAGTCGGCGGCAGTCTGGAAAGCAACAGCTTAAACTAGCTGAATCACAGTCATTCATTCCCTCTGGCACCGTTCGTTACTAAAAGAATGGATTTCTCCTGCTTCCTGAAGAGCCATTTTTCCTTTAATGGTGGCCTAGTGAATAAATCATGGTTATAATGTAAAATGGGTCCTCGTACACAACAAAAAAGATTATCCATGCAAGACAGGAAAGTAATATTTATCAGGCATTTATTATGCTCATTCTTACGAACATTAAGTGAGAGGATCTGCAAGGTAACTGATATTATATCCATTTTTACAGACCAGGAAACTAAAACTCAAGGGTTAAGTGACTTGCCAAAGGTAATGCAGCAAATAAGTGAGAATCACGATTCAAACTTAGGTTGTGTGCTACTCACTCACTCACTATACTAAGAGTAAAAGTGAAAAATTAAGAAACCGCTTTGATGGCTCAGTGCAGTTAACTGACATAAGGATAAAGGCTATGGTTAAACTAGTAAATGAAGGTAGAACATGCAGATGAATAAGAAAAGGTAGGTCTTTTAAAAAGTTAAAGTAGAAGAAAAGGAATAGAACCCCACTTCAATGTGGATCACATCCGTTAGGAAATCTTAACACCTAAAGTAGAAAGGTTTGAGCTGTTTTCCTTTTTTAACACTTCAATCAATGCTGTTTTATGTGATAAAGTGTAACCTACTAATTTCTTCTTACGGTCAACCTTTATAGAGTGCCCACTGCGTGCCAGACACTGTGCTATGCCCTGGAAATGTAAAATTAAAAGACTTCCAATTGCTCAGAGTCCAGTCTGGAGATGCAGGAGACCAATCAGTTACAATACCGAAGGAAGAGCACTGTGACAAACAGATGCCATGGAAGCACAGACAGCATACCTAAGTCAGAATGGAAGGGTCCCGGGGGGCTCCCCAAAGGATGTGATGTCTCAGATGAGTTACACGTATAATACTACCATCAAAAAGCATGTAGATTCCTATTCATACTTTAATTTGGGGTCTCACTGAAAGCATGAAATTAGGACTGCCTCTCTGTCAAAAGGTACAACGCGTGTTCAGTACATAGGTCAGCAAACACAAAGACACTGATTTATGAGGAATAAACCTCTGCTCCAAAGGCAAAACCATGGACATAGGGAAGAGGATAACTTTTCAGCCAAGGCAATAATAAATGCCAAGAGAAAACTCATGATGATGATATGGGTCAGAAAGAGGAATAAGTACAATATCATATATTTACATACTGCTTTACTGTTTCCTAATTCATTTAACCCTCCAAAAACTTCTATGAGGTACATAACTACAGCAGGTTTTATTATCATTAACTTTTTTTTCTACTTTACAGATGAGAAAAATGAGTCTTGGAGAGGATAAGAGCTTTGTCCAAGATCACACAGCTATTAAGTTGCCGGGGCTCACAGTCATGCTTTTTTAACATGTAACCCATTGAGTTACATGTTAACTCTTCCCATTACTGACTTCGGAACTTCCTACAGCATCCTCGGACCCTCACAGGCATTGAATAGCAAGGGGGTTGGTTAGCCCTACAGAGAAAAGGCTGTGTTGACTCTGAAGGGAAAAGCTATAAGAGAGGAAAAGAAGAAGATAGAAAACACTATAAACATTAAGAAAATACACTGAAGAGAAACAAAATGGACAACCATTGGAAAACCTATCAGTAACCTTTGCCCACTGGCAAAAGATCTGCAAAGAAAACCAACTGGTGCATGTTATTTGGTGGCAAGACTGACTGACAACAGCACAAAAGATAAACTGGATCATCCAGAGAGTGGCCAAGAACACAGTGATTATTCAGACGTGTGCACGGAGTATTGGCAATGGGGCTGGATGAGGGTGACAGACCAACTAAAGGGCGCAGGAAGAGCGAACGAAGGATGACTGGCAATGGAGCAGGCAGAACTGGATGTGGATGATGGGGCGCAGATGGGTAACACAGAGAGATCCGGGGGAGGAGGGATGGGAGGATGCAGGCTGCTAATATTTTTTTAAACCAGCAGAAACAAGGATGAGTGCAGTAGAGAGTGGGGGAACTGCAGGAAGACAGGGCGATAACAGTAAAGGTGGGGAGGCAAGCAAGGCGACAACCCAAAGGTGGGGCAATGGCCTTGAACGAGCAGCGCCAGAAGGAAACTGTCATCCCCTACCGAGTACGCGCGTGCTGCAGTTTAGTACCTGTAACCGCGGTTGGAGGCCCGGGGTGGAATCCGGTAGACGCTGACGTCGGGCTTTACACACAGGACAGACTCGTACTCCAACTCCGCCGCCATCTTGGCTCTGCTCTCCCCGCCACTGGGGGCGGAGCTTAGAAACGGGGACCGTATGGGGGCGGGGAGTTTCGGGTACGCGGTAACTTCCGTTTACGCTACTTCCGCCCCAGTTTATCTCGGTTCAGGGGGTTAACCTCCCGTGGTGCGGCTTGGGGAAACCATATTGAAACCTGGAGACGGTGAGGCTACGCGATTTACCATCTTAGGTAATGGCAAAGATGCCATCCTAGTGAGTGACTCACGTTTAGGAAATCCCCATCCCTAAGAAGTAATGAGGGAGAGCGCCATCTTGCTCTTGGAAGGTGCCCGCGATGCTCTGGAAGGACAAGGACCATCTTGAAATCTGGCGAATTTTTTTCTTTCAAGAGTCGCTTCTTGACCGTGGTTTCCCAGCTGGCAGAAATCCACTCGTCAATAATCCCCAACTGAGTACCTACAGGAAATGTATGATCCAGTCCTAGACAGGATGGATTTAACCCTCCAGATCCAAACGTTAAAAAGTGCTCAGCCTGATTAATTACCCAATGCTACTCTTTATTCTCATATTATCCACAACAGCACCTGTTGAAATAGTATGCACTTCTAGTTGTACTCTGGTTTTCATTTTGGAAAAGTTGACCCTGTTAAACTTTTAAGTGGGATCAACGTAATTCCTGACAAAGAAAGCATAATGAACTATTTAGTGGCTACTATTTGTTCCCAGTTGTAATGATCAAAGCCTACTGAACTCTCAATAAGTGTGTTCCTATGCACTCCAGATGTAAACGTGCCATCACTTAGGAAGATTTAATTAGCACAGATAGCAAATGGCAAAACCAAGGTAGAACTCGTCTGTCTGGCTATAACAGCATTGATTGTCACCACTCAACCTGTCTCTAACCTATCTAGGTAAGCAATATATCAAAATTCAAAAAGAATTATATATATCCCGACAAGGTGTGGGAATTGGCAACTCTCATTTACTGTTGTCAGGAATGTTACCTGGTACAGAATTTTTGAGAGAAAATTTAACAGAACTGATCAAAATATTGCATATAACCTTCAGTTTAGCAAATCCACCAATAGGTATTTTAAAGAAATTCTTATATACACAAAAATATATGTACAATGAATAGTATTACTACATTGCTAGTGGAAAAAATAGAAACAATATGAATGTCTATCAAGTGGAAATGGTTAATGGCAAATCTATTACCATAGGATGCTTTGCACTAGGTATACACACACATATATATATGTATAACCTCGATACATATATACATATGTACCATAGGATGCTTTGCACTAGATACACATATATATATAACCTCGATATTAAAGCTATAGAAAGGGATCCAAGGTTTAAAATAAAACAAACCAGCAAACTTTCACTTAATTTTCAGTAATCCTCAACTACTTCTGACTCCCTAAATTGTTTTAAGTTCTTCATACCTTTCCATGCATTAAACCTTCTACCTTAAACGCTCTCCTGTCAATTTGGCAAACTGATACATTCACATATCAACTCAAATAATACCAGGTCTGTAACTTTTCCTGGGACCTTTAGATGAATTTTCTCTAATACTGCCACTTGCTTCTGTTATACCGTTATGTTGTACCAAATACTTCAGATAACTCCTGCTAAACCATAGCTCCATAAAGGCAAGAACTTGGCATTTTCAGTACTCAGCACAATGCCCTCTGCATAGTAGGCACTAATCATTGAATAATACAAAAATCTCTATTTCAACTTAATCATTTATTAATTTGGCCATTTCTCCAGATTCCCCAATTTCAGGACCCTAACAAAAAAAAGTAAAAGAGTATGCAAGGGTATCAAATGAAAAGTGAAAGTTCACATCTCTGTATTATGAGCAACTTAATGCCAACAAATCAAAAACTTCAATGAGCCATGGCTGGTGTAGCTCAGTGGATTGAGCTCGGGCTGCGAACCAAGGGGTCACCTGTTCAATTCCTAGTCAGGGCGCATGCCTGGGTTGCAGGCCAGCTCCTCAGTGGGGGGCCATGTGAGAGGCAACCGCACATTGATGTTTCTCACCCTTTCTCCCTCTCTTCCACTCTCTCTAAGTGAATAAATTTTTTTTAAATCTTAAAAAAAAAAATCAATGAAATGGTCATTGATATATACAACTTACCTAAAGTAATTCAAGAAGAGAAAGAAAATCCGAATAGCTCTAAATCTATTAAAGAAATTGGATTCATAACTAAAAACCTCCCCAACTGGTTCAGCTAAACTTCTCATTGTTGAACAAGCACTTTAAAAAGAAATAATATATGTGCCCCAGCTGGTGTAGCTCAGTGGATTGAGCATGGGCTGTGAACCAGAGGGTCATCGATTTGATTCCTAGTCAGGGCACATGCCTGGGTTGCAGGCCAGGTCCCCAGGAGGGGGGCCACATGACAGGCAACCACACACTCATGTTTATCTCCCTCTCTTTCTCTTTCCCTTCCCCTCTCTCTAAAAATAAATAAATAAAATCTAAAAAAAATAAATAATATGAATCCTATGCAAACTCTAACAGAAGAGGAAAACACAACTTTCAACTAAATTTTATGAGACAATTACCTTGATACCAAGACCAGACAAAGATGATACAAGAAAACTATAGACCAATATTTCCTCATGAGCAAAAATTCTTAACAAAATACCAACAAATCAAATCCAACAATGTATAAAAAGGATAACACACCATGACAAATTGGGATTTATTTCCTATGAATTTTAAGGTTAGTTTAACATTCAAAACCCAGGAAGTATAATATACCATATTAACAGTATAAAGAAAACCCACATAATCATCCCAATGGAAGCAGAATAAAAGAATATGAGAAAATTCAATATTTACTCATGATTTAAAAATACAAACATCAAAAACACTCTGGGCAAACTAAGAATAGAAGGGGAATTCCTCAGTCTGATAAAAGACACCTGCAAGAAACCTACAGCTAACATTCTGCTTAATGGTTAAAGATTGGATGCTTTTCTTTTAAAAAAAATTATTTATTTTTTTAGAGAGGGGGGAGGGAGTGAGAAAGAGGGAGAGAAACACTGATGAGCCAAGCAAACATCAGTCAGTTGCCTCTCACACTCCCCCAACTGGGGACATAGCCCACAGCCCTGGCATGTGCCCTGACTGAGAATCAGACCAGTGACTTTATGGATCATAGTCTGGCATTCAGCCCACTGAGCCACACCAGCCAATGCAGGATGCTTTTCCAAGAATATTAAGAACAAATGTAGAACAAGGCAAGTGTTATGCTCTTGCCACTTCTGTAAAATATTGTCCTAGAGGCCCTAGACAATACAGTAGGGCAAGAAAAAGAAATAAAAAGGATACAGTTTGAAACAGAAGAAATAAAACTGTCTTGAATATGGATGACATCATTACATACTTAGAAAATTCTAAGGAATAATTAGTTCTTCCCAATCAAGAAAATTAAAATATCTTGGCAGGATTTATCTATACTTACCACTAGGGGGCAGTAGCTACACAGTTCAAAAGTTTTGGGTTGGAGAATAGATTAACTGCCCTAGAAATAAAGCTATATTTTTCTTTTAATTTTTTTCATCACCATTTATCCCTCCTATACTCTCTTCCACCTCCACCACCCCCCCAACACCCCACAATCACCACACTGTTGTCCATATCTATGAATTCTTTCTCTTTTTAATTCTTGTTTGCTCAATCCCTCCACACCCCCAGACCCCCTCCAGAGCTGTCAGTCTGCTCTCTATCTGTGAGTCTGTCTCTATTTTGCTTGTTAATTTAGTTCATTCATTTGATTCCACATATGAGTGAAATCATATGGTAGTTGTTGTTTTCTGACTGGTTTATATCACTTTTTTTTTTTAAGGATTTTTAGAGAGAGGGGAAGGGAGGGAGAGAGAGGGGGAAAGAAACATCACTGTGTGGTTGCCTCGCACATGGCCCCCACTGGGGGACCTGGCCTGCAACCCAGGCATGTTCCCTGACTGGGAATCAAACTAGCGACCCTTTGATTCTCAGCCCATGTTCAATCCACTGAGCTACACCGGCCAGGGCTTATTTCACTTAGTTTAATATTCTCCAAGTCCATCTATGCTTTCCCAAAGGGTAAATTTTTCTTTTTTACAGCCAAGTAGTATTCCATTGTGTAAATGTACCATGGCTGTTGCATTCAATTACCTACTGATTGACACTTGGGATGCTTCCAAATCTTGGCTCTTGTAAATAACATTGCAATGAACATAGGTGTGCATATATTCTTTCAAATTAGTGTTTTGGTTTTCTTTGGAAAAATTCCCATAAGTGGAATCACAGGGTAATAATGCAGTTCCATTGTCAGTTTTTTGAGGTAGCTCCGTACTGCTTTTCACAGTGGCTGCGCCAATCTGCATTCCCACCAATAGTGTATGAGGTTTCTTCATTTACCACAGTCTCACCAATATGTTGGTTATTGATTTATTGATCATAGCCATTCTGATAAGTGTGAGGTGATATGTCATTGTGGTTTTAATTTGCATATTGTTGATGATGAGTGACATTGAGCATCTTTCCATATGTCTATTGGCCATCTGTATGTCCTCTTTGGAGAAGATTCTATTCAGGTCCTTCACCCATTTTTTAATTAGATTGTGTTTTTGGAGTTGAGTTGAGTAGACTATCTTTAAGTCATTGCATGTTTTTGCCTCCTTTGTCAAATATCAACTGACTGTCAAGGTGTGGGTTATTTCTGGGTTTCGTATTCTGTTCCATTGAGCTATAAGTCTGTTTTTTATGCCAGTGCCACATTGTTTCAGTTAGTATAGCCTTGTAGTGTAGTTTATATTAAGTAGCATGATTCCTCCAACTTTGTTCTTTTTCTCAAGATCACTGTTACTATTTAGGGTTTTTTGTAGTTTCATATAAATTTTTGGAATATTTGTTCGAGTTCTGTGAAATACACCATTGGTATCTTAATAGGAATTACATCGAATCTATAGATTGCTTTGGGTAACATGGACATTTTAATTACATTAATTCCTTTTTTTTATTATTTA